CCCTGGAAGGCCAGATAATGAAACTGAAGCTCAAATACTTTGGCCACCAAATGAGAAGGGAGCACTCACTGGAGAAGACCCTGATGCTGGGAAAGATTGAAGGTCAAAGAAGATGGGGACGGCAAAGGATGAGATGGTTGGACAGTGTCATAGATGCAACGAACATGAAATTGAGCCAACTTCAGAGGACGGCGGAAGACAGGAAGGCCTGGCGTGATCTGGTCCATGGGGTCGCAAAGAGTCGGACTCGACTGTGCGACTGAACAACAACAACAACAAATTGATTTTAAAGTCGATGAAGCTCAGGCTGTCGGTGGTGGTATTGGGCACAAGAGCTCCATCTTACACCCTATACACCATCTTAGGCCTCCTTTCCCTGCAAGAAAGGTTCAGGGTAGTTTACAACAAAGATAACTTAATTAAGTTAAAACTGGCAATAAAATACATAATATCTGTATCTGCACGGTACCATTTCATGTTAGGGGCTTGTATCATCATCTGTTCCTTCTTACAAAACTAAGAAACCATAAGCATAAAGATGTCAACCCCTGTGTGTAGGTTGAAGGGGTATGATGCAGAGGTAGGCTTTCCCATTTGAGAATGAACTCTTAAAAAAGGTAAAGGTAAAGATTCCCTTGCTCAAAAGCCAGTAGAATCCGACTCTAGGGTTGTGGTGCTCATTTCCGTTTCAAAGCCAAAGAGCCAGCGCTGTCCGAAGACGTTTCCGTGGTCATGTGGCATGACTAAACACCAAGGTGCACGGAACGTTGTTACCTTCCCACCGAATTGGTACCTATTTATCTACTTGCAATTTCTTGCTTTCGAACTGCTAGGTTGGCAGGAATGAACTCTTAGCTCATGAAATATTTGGTGCCGAGAATGTATTGTTAAACTATACACAGTGACAGTTCTGTAGAAATTTAAAGCTTCATATAAACAAATTCTTCATGGTATTCATCCAAGTAATGCTTTGATTCACAATATAAAACTGTGACAACTTTACCTGGAATTTTGCATGTTAAGGAGAAAGGTTAGAACCCATTTCTCTGGCGTGCTGGCTTTGCATGGGTCTGGATACTTATGGAGAACCAGTGTCTAGAAATCCGGAGTTGGATCTGTTCCTCCAGCCATTGATTTGCTGGCTATTCTCAGCTGAGTCAGCATCACTTAGCATCACCTACTCCCCCCAAATTGTAAAACAGGAATAGCACAAATTGCCAGGGAAAATAGATCCAGGTGGGCAGCCGTGTTGGTCTGAAGCAGTAGAACAAAGTTTGAGTCCACAGTGGCACCTTTAAGACCAACAAAGCTTTTTTTCAAGGTATGAGCTTTCGTTTGCACACAACCTTCCTCTGATACATTAAAATGGAATTTAATAGACCATACATATAGGCAGAGGGTGAACAGAGAAATATATTCCAATATTCATTGCATTACATTACAATCACTATTCCAATCTACTACTATTTCAGATGAAAAATACACTAAAATAAAAAGGATGTATAGGCCTTCTTGGTGAGAATACATATGTAAGGACTTAACAGGGATATTGGTTTCTTATCTCACTGCCTATGCTATACTCATTCAGTCCTTACATATGTATTCTCACCAAGAAGGCCTATACATCTTTATTTTAGTATATTTCTCATTAGGAATAGTGTATTGGAATAGTGACTGTAATGTAATTAAATGAATATTGAAATGTATTTCTCTGATCTGGTGACAGAGGAGACATAACACTGCAGAACCATTCACCTCACCTCAAAGAAAAGGATGATGTTAGTTGCCTCCATGCTTCAGAGGAAATGAATGGAGTGTAACAACAGAGTCTCAGTTAATTACTCTTAACATCCCACAATTAAGAAGGACATATTTATACATCAGGTTCCTATTTTGACATATTGATTTGCTTCACTTTGGCTTAAGACCTCTGGTCAATGAAGCTAATAAATGAAAGGAAAGGATTTGCTTCACTGTGTTTTCTCCCGTATTTAAATCCAAAAAATCGTGACCATATAAACTTAGCTTGTTATTCCTGTTTGGTCTTTGCATCTGTTAAAACATCTTCATTATGCTGTATGCTAATTTGCTGTTCACCCTCTGCCTATATGTATGGACTGTTAACTTCCATTCCAATATATATGAGGAAGTGTGCATGCCCACGAAAGCTCATACCTTGAATAAAACTTTGTTGGTCTTAAAGGTGCCACTGTGGACTCAAACTTTGTTCTGCCAGGGAAAAAGTGCAAATGGGAACTTGGCAGTTTGGGAAGGAAAGAAACTACTAAGGGGATGTTTGGAGCAGGGAAGGAGCGGGCAGGGAACTTTTGACCACTTTACAGATCTTTGGTCCTGAATGCCCCTCCAGAAGTGGCTTTTCCTATTTACATAGGGCTGTTGGGATAAAGTTACATGTATCTACATTTTGAGAGGAATTTAGCCCTAAAACTTGCATTTAAGCACTTTAAGGCAAGGTTGGTGCTTTAGGAATGATACATATATTTCTGTATGTGTAGTGATGGGGGGCCCACAGAGAGAAGTAAATCATGCCTACCACAGTGTCTGCTGTAGCCTTCCTTTAGTGTAGAAAACAAGGTGGGAAGAAGTTGGCAGGTAAGCTATAAAGGAAGTGGGCAGGAAATATTATCACTGTTGGTACTTTAGTCATAGATAGGTAAGCAAATGAGATCCCATGATTCAGCTCCAAAGGGAATTGTAAGGAAGAATGTTTAGCCAGCTCTCCAGCGATAAGCACAAGCACTCAAGTTTTAAACAATCTGCCTACTCAGAAGATCAGCAAAGCAACTAAAACTTTTTTCATTACAAAATTTCGTGAGAGAGAATTAATATAAACCCCTGTCTTTTGAATGGCCCTTTTAGCTACTACTTTTAGAAATGGGGAGGAGCTTTGTGAGAGGCCGTCTAGATTTCGTTAAGAACCCTCCCCCCCTCAGACAATTGAAACTCTGCTCTTTAGTTAAGATGTTGAGTTATCCTACTGAATTCTTGAGTGCTTAGGTAATACTAGATTTAATATTACAAGTCCTTGGCTTATCCTAAACAAACCAGCTCAGGCATATTTTAGTTCCAACTCAATTTTTTTTGCTAATATCTACAAATATTAGTAACAGTCCTGTTTTAAGCATAGGACTCTGCTATGCATCACATCATCTGGACCTAGAGCATGAATCTGTTTGTTTCTTCTGCAGACACAAACACAAAGGTTTTTTTTACTTAAAATAAAAACATGCTTAAAACATTAGCACTCTTGCAATATTTTGTTTATTTAACAGTGTCTGATAGCTGATACCTCTTGCTCTGAATTATTGCATCAAAATGTCTGTGCTGTTGCAATATTGAGTACGCTGTTCAGGTGTGTACCTGTAAGCTGCAAACCTATGATGACGCAACAGCAGCAGAACTGGAAGAAGCAGAAGACAGCCAATTCCACTGTGGGCCTGATAGAAGCCCGCCAGGGGCCTAATCCAGCCCCTGGGCTGCATGTTTGACACCCCTGATTTAGAGGGCCTGCTGATCAGCTGGAGGGTCCCTTTCAATCTTGGAGGAGGGGAGGGAGAGGGATGGGTGCAAGATTTAAAGGGCCCTCCAGCTGATCAGCAGGCCATATACTCCTGCTGATCAGCTGGAGGGCCCTTTTAATATCACAGGAGGGGGAGGAGGGGTGGGGGGAGAGGGGCAGCAGCTGTTGTGGAGTATGCCTCACATTTGAAGGGATGGAGCCCTAAAATGCCCCATTGTAGCTACAGGCCTGCTCCATATTTTATCAAGTGCAGAAATGGCTGCACCCCTCCATAAATCACGATTGGGCCCTTGCAGCATTTTTTTACATGGTGGCAGTCACAAGGATTCCATCATATCTGGTTTCCCCTCACTTATGGAAATATGCTAGTCCAGTTTGATGTTTAGTTTTAGGGTTTTTTAAAAAATGCTTGGAAGCTGAGCTTGCATCCTCTACTCAGTTTGTGCAGAGAGTGCACATCTAGTAACTTATGTAAAGGAGAGCTAAGCAGCATCAAGGCTGTTCTATGCAAATAGGTACAGCTCTGTATATTGTGCTCACACCTAGTATGGATGGATGGGAAACAACATTATTGTTGCAAAAACCTAATGGGATTGATATTGATGGGTAAAATACATCTGTCGATATACAAACTAGTCTAATATAGGCTAAAACAAATTAGGTGTGATTTATAAGGGTGGGTGGGAATCACAGATATACAACACTGACACTGATAAATAAATAGCTTCAAGCTGCTACTAAAATCACCATTTCTTGTTTGTAGGGGCATGTTGTCCACAACTGGAAGGCAAGGTGGTTTGTTCTTCTCCAAGACAGGCTGCTCTATTATAAACTTGTGGGAGGAAAGAAGGAAGCTTCTCCAAAAGGAACAATTCTTCTGGACTGCTGCACAATCACCTGCCCATGTTTGGAGTTTGAGAACAGGCCGGTATGACCTAAAGGGTGCCCATTTGATAAAAAAAACATTGTTGATGCATTGACTGTAGGAAATGAAGGGAACAAATTATAGAATCAGGCTGTGCTGGAATGTGGGAGGGTGGAGTCTCTGCCGGGGCATTCAGAGTTGCATTATACCACCCCTCTGACCAGACCAAAGTGCACCCTTGCTTTGATAACTCAGAGACAGAATGCATGATTTGACCCAGAATGTCCCAGATTCATAAGAAGAGCCTTGCTGGATCAGACCAGTGGTCCATCTAATCCAGCATCCTGTCTCTCACAGTGGCCAACCAGTTCCTCTGGAGGGTCAACAGCATGGCATAGAAGCCAAGGCCTTCCCCTGATGTTGCCTCTTGGTACTGGGGTTCTGAGGCTGACTGCCTCTGAATGTGGAGGTTCCCCTCAGTCACCATGGCTAGTAGCCACTGATAGACTTATTCTCCATGGATCTAATTCCTTTTTAAAACTGTGTGTGCCTGTGGCCATCACTACATCCTCTGGCAGAGAATTCCATATTTTAATAACTCACTGTGTAAATAAGTTTTTGTCTGTCCTGCCCACTAGCTTCATTGGATGCCCTTGAGGTCTAGTATTTTGGGAGAGGGTATTTTGCAGTCCCTTTTCTAATAATCCCTAAATTTGTCTTTTTCACCGCTGTAGCACACATCTAATCTCATCCGTTTCTTCTCATTCTCTTGAGTTCCTTTAGCAGCACTTTAGCAGCACTGCATTCAATAAGCCTCCCCCTACTCTACTGCTGCGGTGGCTCAAGTGGTTAAGACGCTGAACTGCAGGCTGTGGAAGGTCGGTAGTTCAGCAATTCGAGACCCAAGTTGCCGCATGACAGAGTGAGCTCCCGTCTCTAGTTCTAGCTCCTGCCAACCTAGCATTTCGAAAGCAAGAAATTGCAAGTAGATAAATAGGTACCACTTCAGTGGGAAGGTAACAGCGTTCTGTGCACCTTGGTGTTTAGTCATGCCGGCCACATGACCACGGAAACGTCTTCGGACAGCGCTGGCTCTTCGGCTTTGAAACGGAGATGAGCACCGCAACCCTAGAGTCGGATTCGACTGGCTTTCGAGCAAGGGAATCTTTACCTTACTATACTGCTTAAAAATTTCTTATGAGTAGTGTCCTTTTCTAGTGTTACAAATTGAGGAGTTTAATGGTAAACCAGAAGAGAAGGCAGAAGGGAACAATATTGCCCATTTCCCAGTACAGCGTCTGAAGCTGCATGGCTATCATAACTTTTAAAAAAAGATTTCCAACTCTCAATCTGAGACAACACCTGATCATATCTGCTTGCAACTAGGGTCATAAAGCTGTTCAAGATCTGTGTTTCTCCTTGTTTGGATGAAATTTTACTACACTGTTCTGAGGCGTGCTGGGCATTGCTAATATCTGGCAGATTCCATAAGTCCTTTTTCCCCTTTGCACTGTTAATTTTGTAGCTGGTTATTAAACTGAATACAAAAAACAACACCGAATATTTCCTCGATTCATGCTCCAGAGAAGAACGTGATGCTTGGGCAATGGACATCACCGGTGCTATTCATGCTGGCTATCCAGAACAAGTCCAGCAGCTTCACCTTATGAAAAATTCCTTCAAACTGCCTTCAAATATCAGCCTGAAGTAAGTGTAACACAATTCTTCAAACTGTGTTCTTATGACGCGTGTGTGTGTCTGTGTATCATAGCCTGCCTCCCTTCTAGCTCTCCACAGCTCAACAGACCCAAGAAGAGCCAGTATGACAAATCCCTGCATAAGCATCTACAGACTGAACTCTTTGTGGCAATTCTGTTGTCTCTACAGCCTGATAAACACATGCTTATGCAACAGATGATTTATCTACCTGTGTATCATAGCCTGTCTCCCTTCTAGCTCTCCACAGCTCAACAGACCCAAGAGCCAGTATGACAAATCCCTGCATAAGCATCTACAGACTGAACTCTTTGTGGCTATTCTGTTGTCTCTACAGCCTGATAAACACATGCTTATGCAACAGATGATTTATCTACCATTAATTACTCTACCCTTGACAACTGGCTGCTGAATGTGTGAACCTGGTTTGATTGAAAAGCATTGTGTTTGAGGAGAGAGTAACTTTTGTCTATGGTCTGTGATGGCCTGTTCAGATGTACCAAGAAGTCACTTAATGTGTTGAAGTCATCAAGTATAAGTGTTTGTGTGAACCAGCCCTATGAAGGCATTTTTATATTCCTATGTTATTCCTGCCAGGTTTTCCATTCATGGAAGGGGCACTTGTGATACAAGCCAGAGCTCATTATTGGTTGCATGAGTTGAGATTGAGGAATTTTGGCAAGACCTGATTCTCTGCTTAACACTGTCCCTTCTTTGTTCTTTTACAGTCATATTGTAGATAAAATGCATGACAACAGTAGCGGAGTTAAGCTGATGCCTAACACTGAACAAGGCAACATGTATAAAGAAAGCTTTACAGGTACACAAAGCCTCTCAGTACTTCAGTATTCCTTAATATAAAAGGGCTCATCAAGGTCCAGCCACATGTTTTCATTATCAGAATTGGCACTGATAAATGTGAAAGAATAAATAGCATATTTTCAGTCAGTATCAATAATCAGATCTCACATATCTGGGATTAGATGCAAGAAATTACAGGTTACTGTGTGACACCCACCCATCCCCAACATCTCTCCCTTTGGATATTAAGTGCTATTTCTCTTCCATGCAAAGCTTTTCTTCTTCTTTAATCTAATCCCCCTCAAGCCTTAACCTATACGTTACAGGAGATTTATGGATGGTACTGAAACCCATCTTTCTGATAATGTTTAGCAAAAGACATGGACTTACACCCATGGTTTGACTTGTGGAGATGGGTGATAAACTGATGGCAATCTCATATCTCTGCAATCCGAGACTTTATAGAAGAATGGAAGGGGGAAGAAAGTGTTCTGTAAAAAAATTATGCTGGCCTGAGTTAAAGAAATAAATAAGAAACGGTCATGGCAGTTTTCTCCATGAAAGGGTGAGAGTGCCCAGCTCCCCTTGCCTTTGTGACAGGTGTGCTGCAGGTTGTCCTTGATGGTCTTCAGGCCTGCTTTTCCTCTTCTCAGGTGCTGCACTGGTGGACTGGCTGATTTCCAACCAATTTTCTGCCTCCCGGCTAGAAGCAGTCACACTGGCCTCTGTGCTGATGGAAGAAAATTTCACCAAGCCCTTGGGAGCCCGGAGTGTTGAGGCCATGAGGAATGGTGATCTGGCAGAGCAGTTTTTAGATGATTCCACTGCACTCTATACATTTGTAAGCAATTTCTGTAAGGCAGGTCTCCCTTCGTCATGACACTTAAAATTGAGGGTGGCCATGCATATGCCGTGATTGGGGAAAACAAATAGCAAAATATGATTCAGATGACAAACTGCTTGAAAGATAATTTGAAAATAATCTTTCAAGTGCTTTGAAGACCTAGATTAAAAACTGATACAGTAGTTGGACTTTGCACTGAGTCTGTATTCACACTGGGTGCAGCTTGGCTTTTATGCAGGTCTGCAATAATGGAAGCCAGTTTGTACATTTTTGTTTCTACATTTTTTAAAATAATCCTACCCCTGGCAAAAAAGCTGCTTTGGGTATGGAATTTTTCTTTCAAAATAATAGAGCTTTGAACGCTTCATTATCAGGGCCAAAACACAATGCTTTGCATTATGAATGTCTCTTTTCCCCAAAAAGCTTTCAATTAAAAAAAATATTTAATTACAGGCAGAAAGCTACAAGAAGAAAGTCAGCTCAAAGGACGAATTACATCTTAATACTCTTGAACTGAGTGGCACAATTGTAAAACAAGGCTTCTTAATAAAACAGGTGACTATCACTTTGGATCATGAAGGCAAACAATGTGTGTGTGTGTGTGTGTGTGGCAATGCTCATTGGAACAAAAAAAAATCCTAACTATTAAACTGCATACATGAGAAGCACCTACTGCATGACCTTCTCAAAGAAGGCTGGCCAAGCCCCATAATAATACAGTGACCAGGAAATCCTTGTTTCTTCCATAACATTATTTGACACCAGTTCAAATAGCTTTAGGAAGCTGGTTGTTCCCCTTTATCATAGTGCTCTGAAAATAGCCAAGAATGTGCACACATAGTCACAATTTTGTGGCTTTGAATGGACTATTCACTGTACAAACATGAAGATTAACTACACTAAATGTAACGTTTTAATTGAGCTATTAGTGACAATTTCTTCCTATTTCCAACTTACACATGCAGTAGTTACCAGAAGCAACCCTGTATGAAGGCCTTAAAAAAAATCCATCACGTATCCTCAGATTTCAACCTGTTGCCTTGAGAATAAGCCCCAAACCCTGAAAACCGACATTCAGGAGACTATGTTGAGAAGGAAAGTTAACTGAGTTTTATTCTTTCAACTTGTCAGGGGCACAAGAGGAAAAACTGGAAGGTGCGGCGTTTTGTCCTGAGAGCAGACCCTGCTTTCCTGCACTACTACGATCCCACTAAGGTGCAACAACACACTCCGAATACTTTAGATTATTTTCTGCATGACATAAAAAAAAACAAAGCTAACATCATTGTTGAGTTCCTTCTTATACTGACTTCTGTGAGGCTGGGGTCAGACCCCTAACCTGTGACTGCACTAGCTCAGAACAGTAGCAGAAGGGAAGCTTAGAAAAGAACGTTTAGAAATGGCTGCCACTGTCATTACATAAATGGCTGGCTCATACACAAGGATATATTTTTATTTTTTAGAAAACAAAGTAAAGATGTGAGGGGATACAGAAATGAAAACGGGGTTGAATATCATTATGTGTATCAAAAATATTTATATAACACAGGGTTCATTTAAAAATAGCATTTCTCCCCAATACCTCCTTCATTATAATTTTAAAACACTATTAAATGCAATGATACTTCTGTTGGGATACATTTATATTCAACATTCTGGATTTCAAATTCCTTAACTTATCTGTTTTACATCTACATTATTGATTTCATCTTTACTACATATTCGGTATTATATATTTTTGCCACCTCAACTTACTCAGTGTAACTTATAACAATATGTAATATCAGAGTACAGAAAGAAAATCTGTTATATATCTCATGATAACGTAAGGGATATTTCTGCTCAGGATTCACTTCTTTATACATTTATATTCAAGATGTTACATTTAAAGCTTATTCTCGTTCTGCTTCTACATTTTAATACATTTGTACACAAATTTTTGAACTACTTCTCATTCTAAATTTGTCTCCTGTTTGTATAATACATACGCCATCTCGCCTCAAATTTAATGATTGATCTATTTCTCAAATAAGTTGTTAATTTTGCCATTACTACATATTTGGCGAGTTTATTTTCCCATTCTCCTAGGTGGGGGCAGACATCTAGTTTCCATCTTGCTGTGTAGCCGCTCACACAAAAGATTTTTGAGGTGACTGTATATGCGCATATAGAGGCAGATTGGCCATTAAGGCTGCTGAAAAAATTCCAGTGTCTCAATGACTGGTAGGCCATCACCTCCTACTGATGCCACCGTGACCCCAAGTAAGGGCCATGTGCAATCTGCCACAAGGAGGCATCTGGCACAACCTCACTCACATGGTGAGGGATGGGCCCAGAACAGCCTTGTTCCCCCTTCCTTTTTGGAGCAGTAACAGGGTGGACTGGGGAGGGGCCCTTTTCTAGGGTCGTTTTCTCTTCCAGTCCAACCCTGACCACATAAGTACATAACACTGAAAATGTGCCACTTCTTTAGACTGCTTCCACATTCTCCCTCTTCCCACATATATCATGATTCAGTTGCTTTCTCTTTATCACTGCTGCTGTAGCAGTCATAGGCCATAGTCACACGTTCATTTTGATTGGATTTCACCGCTGTTCCCTGTCGCATTTAAAATTGCTGATCAGACGGCCGCATCCGTCTCCCGCACCAAAGTGGCTCACTCGCGCAATCCTCCCAGTTCCCTAGTGAGTTTTCCTACACCCGAAAAATCAAGTACTTTCCAGATATTCTATCCATAATCCTTAATGTGGACTACCAGCTTGTGCCGAGAGAGCTTTAGCCATTGTCATTAACACTGAAGCTTAGAAAAGAACGTTTAGAAATGGCTGCCACTGTCATTACATAAATGGCTGGCTCATACACAAGGATATATTTTTATTTTTTAGAAAACAAAGTAAAGATGTGAGGGGATACAGAAATGAAAACGGGGTTGAATATCATTATGTGTATCAAAAATGGGAGCGGGGCCACGACCATACAAGGGAAAACCATAGAGTTTTCCCTTGTATGGCTGTGGCCCCGCCCCCAGCGTGCCCGGCGTCATAACGTCACTTCCCTGTGACGTGCACACTGGGGCAGGGTTCCCCCCGGGGCCCGATTCCCCGGCGTCAGGGAACGGGCCTCTGGGGCGGGGGGATTTGGCAGCCCTATATAGACTCCAGTGCTCAATTGTACATCACTAGTTAATTTTGTTTGCTGTTCGGGGGGGCCCTGCAAGAACAAGGGAGTACGGCGAGTCCCAGTGGGAACGGTGATTCAGCCATGTGTATATGTGCATGCGCAAAGCCAAAATTTTTTGAGAAACAAGCTGTGCCGCCCAAGCAGCAAGTGCAGCTATCTGAATGGTGCCCAGAGACTTGTTGCACGATGCAAGCAGTTCAGGGAGAAATGTGTGGTCATCCGAATCTGAAAAAAATATTCCCAATCAAATCTACAGTGGGAACAAATCGCGGTAAGCTTGCCGTGTGACCACACCCATATTGTCCCTATGCTTTCCTAATCAGTTGCTTCTTTTTTTCCTTTTGCAGGAGTGAAAGGAAATGTGCAAGGTAATCTCTTCAAAATCATCACTAAGAATGACATTCACTACTACATACAGGCCAGTTCCAAGACAGAAAGAGCACACTGGATTGAGGCCATCAAACGGCTAACTTAAGAACCATGCAAAAGTATATCTGGACAAATGCAGAATCCAACCAAGCTGACTGCCAGTTGGGTATATACAATGGTTGGCTTTGAGATGTATGATACATACTACGTTTTACCATTGGGTCAGATTGGCCACTTACTTCATTGGGAAAGATCATGGCGGAAGCAAGAGGAAATGTCAAGTAGCCGCCCCAAGGCCATTTCTTGGAGCCAGAGGAAGGGGCAAACTACCCGCTCCCAGCAATTTCCACTAATGAAAACACTGCAGGAGGGAAACTGAAAGCCCCTCCTCCCCACTCTGGGACTAAATGGAGCAATGGAATGCTTTCAAGGTAAATTCCCACATTTATACATGTGGCAGTAAGTTGGGTCAGGCATCTGTTTCCCAACTTATGCTACCTATAATGTCTAGTTTGACTCTCAGTTCGCTTTTATCTGGACTCCTACCATTTCCTGTTGTACAAGGATATGCCACTTTATATTTGTTGTTCTCAGTTTTTAGATGGTTTTAGTTTTATTTCTGGATAATAGATATTTTCATTTTTTTAATGCAAAGAATGCTTGGAGAATACTCTCACTGAAAAGTTATGCATAAATATTGTTAATAGACATAGATAATTGGTCCAAATATTTGATCACTCTGACTGGGAGCATCTCCTTGTGGTCTCAGGAAAAGGTTTTCCCCAGCTTCATTTCCTAATTTTCCTAAGGGGTTATTTCTGAGGAGCCAATGTGAAGTTTGCCTTTTTATAAATTGCCACTGGCAGTTTTCTCTTGAAGCTTCTAGCTTCTGCTCCTAATCACCTCTGTATGAATAAAGGAAAAATAATTGAAGTGTGTGCCCACAGCAGCTCAATGGCCAGTATGGCTGTCAGTGCTGTAGAAATTTCTTCAGCTCTGATGGGCAGAAGTGCCTTTCATCAGGATAGGAGAAATCATTGCTGCATTTAGCCATTGTATCATGTATTGTTCCTTCATTTCACTTGCAGAAGATCATTTTTTTTAGGATTATAAGGCTTGAGATTTGGATGTATACAGTTACTGTCATTTGAACTACAAACTGCCTGCTCCCATATGAAGTTATTCAACTGCTAAGGCCATCTTCTGAGGCCCTGCTTCAGGTGCCTCCACCTTCTTTCTCCGCTGTGGCACCAAGCCATGCCTGGCAACCGGCAGGAGCTTGGGGTAAAACCATAGAGTTCCCAGCAGTTCCTAGAGCTATGTGATGGCATTTTCAGGTTTTCCCCAGAAGTAACACTGTGCTGACCATGATGGTGGTGTTTTGTTTTTTCTTCTGCTGCCATTTTGGCACGGTGGTAGGCAACAAGGGTAACCAGCGGGATGTCTCCCACCATAGTGGAAGGCCTGTACACCCTACGCCTCAGGGATATTCATCGCTCCCCTTCTGTCACTGCCTTCTGCCTGTAGGTGAAGACTTTTTGTTTTGTCCAACATTTCCACAATGATCCCTCCGTCATGTCCTGTGCTTTAATTACTGTGCTTTTGATACTATTTGAGGTTTTGTTATAATTGTTTTTTATAATGTTTGAACTGTTATGCAGCTTGATTACCTTACTTGGGCAGAAAAGTGACATATACATTTTTGTAATAATTTTGCAATAAAATAAATAAAATTGTGTGTTTCTTTAGAAAATGTTGCTCTAACCGGCCATAATATTATTTGGGGTAACTGTTTCTGCATAGCCGGTGTTGCCTTTTGGGGGGGTAATCCTGCAAAACCCTTAGGAAGCTCCCTGTGTTGTTAAGCACCAATGTTTAACAATGGAAAGTTAGAGCATAAAAACAGGACTATATCTGGGTAAACTATAATAATCTTTTTTTTTTGGAATGGTTTTTAGCATATTTTTTAATGATGTTTCCCTAATTGTAAAATCTTAAGTCTTTCAGTGCTGTCCTAAACACTTACATCTAGTGTGGTTTAACAGTTAAGAGTGTTGGACTAGTATCTGCGAGACCTGGGTTTGGAGCTTGCTGGGTGACCTTGGGCCAGCCACACTCTCTCAACCTAACCTACTTCACAAGGTTGTTTATGAGGATAATATAGAGCCAAGAAGAATTATGTGAGCTGCCTTGGGTCCCCATTGGGGAGAAAGGTGAGGTATAAATGAATTAAATAAATACATTCTCAGTCCATTGACACTGAAGTGTAAAGCTCTCCTTGAGTACACTGCTGGTCACTGATTATATGAATTTGGCTCAGCCTAGTAATTTAACAGACTACTACTTTGTCTTGTCACACTTTTTTCTTCGTGATAAACTATCCAAATCAGAAAAAAATTATGAGATTGTCTTCTTGTATCACAGCTATCCTTTAGAGAAGTATACACTTAGAAACAATAAAATAAGAGATTAAGGGCATATTTATAATAAAATTGAATATTGGTCTCACTCTCCTTTCGAGCATCAAAGTTTGATTTTGAGAAGTGTTCCTAGCCTCCCTCACTGAACTGCAGTTTCTAGGGTTTCTTGGTAAAAGGGAAATTACCATTAAACCAGTTTAAGACTGTACTATAGATGTGCCTCCAGATAAGAGGACCTTGGATGGAGAAAAAGGCAAACTGAGTTATAAAGAGACAGGACAGCAACTGTGTAGTTATTTCCAGGGGTCGTTTAGTAGAAAAAGAGCTAGGGGAACTCATTAGCACAACTCATTAGCATATGCCACACCCCCTGACCTCACCGGAAGTGTGTCATAAGGCCACACACCCTGACATCACCGGAAGTGTGTCATAAGGCCACACACCCCGCCCCCAACGGTCCTGGCCACCGCCACCGGCCTTGCAGCTCCACTGCCAAGCCCCATGAGGGGCCCGGTGGTGGACCTGCAAGGCCGAGGGGAGTGCAAGGAAGCCCCGCGAAGGCCCTTCCTGGCCCCAAGCAGGCAGGGGTGGGGATAGGGTGGGGATAGGCAGGGAGGAAGCAACTTACCCTCCCTCTTCTCCTGCCTCCTCCTGGCTGAATGAGGGCCGGAAGCGGGGCGATTTAGATTTGGCAACCCTACCTCAAATGTATCTTGTTTGTGTCACCAAGATAACAGCTTCAGTGGTTTAGATCCTACCCTTTTGTTATAGGACTGCCCCTGTGGTGCCCCCAGTAAGTGTTAACTGTAGGCAGTAGTAGTTTGGTAAAACTGCTGTGTATCTTTAAGAGTAGTTGCACCTGGGAATTGTAGTTCTCAGTTAGGGGTCCCAGCAGCTTCCCTCTCACTGGCTCATTAAGAGTAATTTCCTGAGCTCAGAGGTGCAAAGATAGGAATTTTATTACTCTTTTCCTGCTTCTTTGTCCATCCTTACCCCGAAGGAGAAGGGGAAGCTCGTCTCTTTCTCATCACAGGGTTTCCACCAACCCAAGATGCTTTTCTGCTAATGCAGAATTTTGTTAGTTAGAATCCCTATGTATCCAGCTGGGAGGAATGTGCCAGCAGCAGCAGAAGGAAATGATAGGATCCAATCCAGTAATAAATGCATGTTGAATAAGAGGGAGCTTGGAGGGAAAAGAGTTACCCTTTCCCAAATATATATTTTTTTGTGTTGCTCTATTAAAGTACAGAATAGTGGGACAAACGATTTGTACAATATTCAGATAGTGTCAGCATTTGCTTAATGTAGTATACAAGAGAGGGCTGGTAAATGGACAGCCATATTTAGGTAAAATAAACAAATTTCAAATACAGATTGTATGTATCACTAGTGTACATGGTGTATTGAAGAATAATGGTGAAACAGGACTCCCAGTTTCTAATGTCCATTTGGAACAGATGAAATACTAGTTAGGAAACTTCTGCCAGGTGACCACAAAGTTGTCACACCAACTGAAATCCCTAGAGATGGAGGCCGTATGACACAGATTACGAAAAGCTGTATATTCAGAGTTCCTCTGTTTACTTAAAAAGAACCATCTGTCTAACCAGTAATTCCTGTACAACAAGTATGGGAATAGCAACTATAATTTGTACTTGCCTGAAATGTGATTAAGCTATATTTTTCAACAATGAATGCATTTTGTTGGAACAAAAGAACAGCACTGGGTTTTCTAATGAAATATTGGCTTGGAACCAAAGAGATCACCTGCTGGAGCAGAGTCTGTGGAGTGAGTCTTTCTTGCTCTCTGGTTCCATTGCTGCTCACTGAACCTTTCCCTGCCAGTTTTATTCTTCTGACAGCATAAGAGCCTTTAGGAAGAAGGGGAATCAGTAGCAAATTGTCCCTTTCTTCCTATGATGGAAGAGCTCTTCTGCCATCAGAAACCGGGGTATGATACAAAGTGCTATGTGTGTGTTTACCACATGGTAGATGATACAAGGCTAGAGGTTTCCAAGATAAATTGCAGTAAACATTCATGTAACTATTGCAAACTAGAGATGTTTAAAAATGTTTTTGTGAATATTTTCACCTTCTCTCATATGTCTAAGACACTTTTCTCCATAAGACAGGCCCTGCGTGATTAGACCAGTGGTCCATCTAGTCCAGCAGCTTGTTTCACACAGTGGCCAGCCAGTTGACTTGGAAGGCTGGCCGACCCAGACCCCCCCCCCCATCCATAACCCAACCATTCCCACCAGCCAGTCTTCCAGTTCTCCCGATCCTGGAGTAAGCAATGTCTGGTGTACAGAAGAAAAGAAGCCTGCAGGGGGCAGCAAGAGAAAGGCTTGTCAGATAGGATAGTGGGGTCAGCACCTGCTTTCCTTTATAGTGTCATTCCCTGTCTGTCTCCAGAATTCCTACTCTTAGAATAATCTCCTCCTTCTCAGAAGTTCCACATTCACAACTGTCTCTCAGCTTGTGATGTAGCTAGGAACCCATCTCTTTGTTCTTTGTTATCTAGCATGTTAGTTCCTGAATAAAGCTTTCTCCTTCAGTGGGGGAATCCAAACTGGTTAGGTCACACCTCCTCCTGGTTCAGGCAGGGCTATGCAAATTTTGTGTGACTCTCCTAATACAGTGCAAGGCTGCCCTTCCAGTTTCAGTAGCCCTGCAGCTCCAGAAGGATGCTCGAGCCTAGATCCACTTCTATAGCTGCCATGCCAAACTAAACAAACTTTACTCAGTTTGTGCAGCTTTGTTGTGTAATCACACAGCCAATAGAGTTGTGGGCCCACCAGAGGTACATCTGATTAAAGGCTGAAAATTGCCAGAGGCTCTTAATGCCGGCACAGCCTACCAAAATCACATGATAATGTGATTTGTGCAACAGAAGCTATTGGTCAGCTAGAGGAGGAGGAAGTTTGAAGGAAGCATAAGAGAGTGAAGTCCTGTCAATCGGCTCTGAATATAATTAACAGAGTTAATTTGCTATTCTTGTGGACATATCAAGTGAAAAATGTTTCGCAAAATGTTAGAGAGAAGCAGAAAGACTCTTCTTAAAATTAAGGAACACCCAACAAGGCCTGATGTTATCACAGGGAGGACAAAAAGCACCACTTGGTACATTGCTTCCTTTGCTACTTCACACATCTGCAATAAGAGAAGTTTCTTTGAAACAATAGATGGAGAAATTAAAGAGAAGTTGCATGTTGTAGATGGGAAAATCTTCTGGGCTGAAGGCCAGGGCTATTTTGGGGCAGGAACGCACAGGAACGGAGTTCTGGCTGGCTCCCAAGCTGGCCACGCCCAGCAGGAACTCATTAGCATAATAGGCCACACCCAACAGCAGCAACTCATTAGGATTGGCTACATTAGGGGTGTGTGGCCTAACATGCAAAGGAGTTCCTGGTACAAAAAAAGCCCTGGGTTTTGACAACAAACAAAGTAAACAGAATAAGAACCAAAAGTTGGGTGTGGCTGGATGACCACACTTCTGGTAACATGGGGGTGTGGCCTAATATGCTAATAAGCTGTGCTGTCATGGGTGTGGCCTATTATACTAATGCGTTCCTGCTGGGCTTTTTCTACAAACAGAGCCCAGGCATTTGCTCTGAGGCACCGTATTGCAAGCTTCCAAATGGTAAAATCCGAGAAGTCCTTGTTATAAATTGTTTGTTAATCCTCAGGCTAGAGAGTAATTTTATCTTTGTAAGAGCAATGGCAAAGAAAAGAATAAAACCAACTTTGGGAGATAAATGTTTTATCAGAGACAAGACTGACTTAATTGCAATGGGTGATGTGAGTGGGGATTTGTATGGATTTAATGCCACAAAGAGAAAGTAAGCTTTACAAAACAGTGTAATCAGAAGGATTTTTCCAGGTTGTGGCATAGGAGATTAGGTCATAGAGAAAATTATGTGATAAACCAACTTGAAAGCAAGAATTTAACAAGACGTGCTAATGACCAAATGTGCTGCTGCAGAGAAGTGTGTGCATCAAATGCAATGCCTCCTAGAGCTCATATGTGTGGACTCAGGAAAACTCAAATGGCTTGTGCAAATAAATATGCCAAGCTTTATTGATGACTACTCGAAATACACTGTGACCTATCTAATTAAAGAGAAAATTCAAGTACTGGGAAAATTTAAGGCACATATTGCAATGGTCTGTATCAGATTCTAAAGAAAGCCACTAGTAATCTGGACTGATAATGGAGGGGAATACATGGTACACGAGATGACAAATTGCTTGACAGAAGAAGGGATAGATCACCAACTTACAGTCCCATACACCCCAGAAAACAATGGAGTAGCAGAAAGAAATAACCATTCTCTCATTAAAGTGTCCAGATGTATGCTCTTTGAGGCAGAGGTACCTGACAATTACTGGGGAGAAGCAATCAATACTGTTACCTACATGTAGAATCAATCAATACTGCTACCTACCTAAGGGTACAAGCAATACTCAATTTGACCTGTAGTACAGGCACGAACAAAGCTTGGGTCACGTAAGAGTGTTTGGATCAAAAGTCTACACTTACGTTCCTAAAGAAAAAAGGGCCAAGATGGATCTTAGAGCAGAAGAAGTCATATTTGTTGGCTATACACTGGAATGCAACAGATATAGAATCCTCATCCCAGAGACAGAAATGCTGAAGATCCACAATGTGGTCGACATCGATGAAAAGGAGAAATCAAACAACATGGGAATGAATGTCAGACAGGGATGGGCATGAACCCACAAACAAATCCTGGTTTGAGAACAAACCACGCCGATTTGTGGTTCATGAACTAGGGGTTCAGGAGAACGTGTCTCCAACAATCTGCCCATGAACCTCCATGTTTTTCATGGAGGTTCATGGGAGACACGTTCTTGGGCTCCAAAGGCATCTAAATGCCATCAGAGCTTACTTTTGGGTCCGGCGGGCCACACAGAAGTGAGCCCCAGAGGCATTTAAATGCCTTCAGAGCCCATAGCTCCACCCAAGTGAACTCCGAAGAGATTTAAATGCCAGCACGACTGAACTCCAAGAGTGAGCTCTGAAGGCCTTTATAGGGCAGCCCGACTCGACTGAGCTCCCAGAGTAGGCTCTGAAGGCTTTTATAGGCCTTATGTGCCCTTGTATGGGCAGGCCCCACCTGGAAGTGGGCTCTGACATTGTATAAAAGGCTTCAGAGCTCACTCTTGGAACTCCAAAGGCCTATAAAGGCCTTCAGAGCTCACTCTCAGAGCTCAGTCCAGCTGGCCCAACCCATTTAAATGCCTTCAGAGCTCACTTCCTGTTGGACAGTCCAACCTGGAAGTAAGCTCCAAAGGTATTTAAATGCCTTCTGAGCTCACTTGGGTGGGTCCACGGGCCAGTGGTTGGCTCCAATGGCATTTAAATGCCTTTGGGGCTTACTTCTGGGTGGGGCCACTACTGGAGTGAGCGCTAAAGGCCTTTGGAGCTAACTTCCTGGTGGGGTTGCGGCCCCACGAACCTCCCAAAGCGTGGACTAGTTCATGCAATGGAGAAGTTCATGGAGGTTCGGAAAAAACTGAACCTCCCATTTTTCCATTTCGTGCCCACCCCTAATGTCAGGGAGTCTACAGAAGAGAAAAATGAAGTACAGAAAATAGAAACAGTGACTCTGAGCATGGTGGATGACACACCAGCAGAACCTAGACAGAAAGAAGGGGGTGCAGAGCTAAGTGTCAGAAATTCAGTCAGATCAAAGGAGTACCAAGAATGCTTTCCTATTATAGCTAGCCAGGGAGAGAGAGAGAGGGCAAGGGAGATCTGGCCAGGGAGAGAGAGAGGGCAAGGGAGAGCTTTCGCATGAAGAAAAGTCTCTGGCTTTTTCCTCAGTACGATATACCACCTGGTGTTCAGCTTGTGTTTGCTGCCCAAATTCCTGGCTTTGATTCTGGTGAGATCATAACTTTGGCTCTTTCTTTTCCTGACATGACTCCTTGCCACCTGAAAGGGATGTTTGACTCACTGCCTGAATCCAATGCTTGAGACCATTATACATGACTAGGAGCCAATCCTGTTGTAAAAACAATACAATGAGCCCTAGACTGGGCCGTGGGTGGCTGGCTCCCTCCTCCCTCTCTCCCATCACGGGGCAGGAGACGCAGGTAGCCTGGGGTGCGAGGAGATGGTGAGGACAATGGTGGAGCCCACCATGGTGGGCTGGGTTCACTTATCCCTGGGCGTGGTGGGCGGCACCTGGGGACACCGCACAAGATTCTCCCGGCTGCAGCATGCCTGCAGAGCCGCCTCCGCTGCCTCCAGCTGGGCTCGGCCTCTTCCGAGCGAGCCAGTGGCTTTCTGTCATGCAGCAGCAGCAGTGGAAAAAGAGGCCGGGACGGGGGAGACTGACACAAACTGCCCCGCTCGCCGTGACAACCCTTCCTAGCTGCCTGCCACAACGAGGGGGGCCCGCACAGCGGGGAGCGCCCCGGGTGTGAAGCAGCAGCAGTCTCGTGCTGCGAATGGCCTTGAAGCCAGAGCCTGCCAGCCGGGGCGGGAAATGCGTGCCTCCTGGGGCCCCACTGCCCTTTACAAGCGGCAGCAGGACCAAAGAGGCAAAGTGCGGCGCCAACAGGCTGGGCGGGTGCCAGTCATGAGTGGATGGGGCTGCCTCAGCATGGAGCGCCATGGCTGGCCTAGTGTGTGAGGCCGCCGTGGTGGGGCGCTTGGAAGAGGGTGCCGAAGAGGGCCATGCACCGCTGGGGCAGGAGGGCGACCCGCTGGTCTCCCACAGCATGCTGGGTGAGGGTACAGTGGGGCTGCCGGTCGAGGGCTGGCGCCCCCGGCTTGGCTCTCTTTGAGGTGGGTGCGGGCCCCAAAGTGGAGCAGGGGAGAGTGGGTGGATCTGCTCCTGAGCCCCTTGGGGGGAGGGAGGGAGGGCAGAATCCAGGCATGGACGAAGCGCAGCATTCCAATGGGACTCGAGGCAGTGGTGACTGGAGAAACAGACGGCCACCAGCCTTGCTGCATGGCCGGTCTGCAGCAGCCCATTGCATGGCTCTTTTAACAATGGGACCCACCAGGCCCGCTGCAGAGGCGTTTGCAGAGTCTGGTGAGGGCTCCTGACTCACTTCTGTTGTTCCAGTTGGTGGCTTCGGTGCTCAATGCCTGCCTTGTGAGCTGCCGAGGTCCTTCAGGGTGGGGAAGCAACTGTCTTCTGAGGGAATTTGTGGCTGGCGCTGCTTCTGTGGGCAGGACAAAGGCAACACAGCCAGTGGGCAGGGACCCATTTCTGAGTGGCAGTTCAGGCAGCCAACTGATTTTGGCATGCATCGAATCTTGCCACCCCAAAAAAGGATTATAATATAGGAGAGATATACACACTCCCATTCTCTGCAGTCCCTGGTGCATTCTCCAAAGGGCTTGATTACAATTTGGAAGGCAACAGAAGGAGCATCCAAGGGCTCCAGAATCTCCCGATCACTGATTCTTCTATCTCTAAAGTTAAAAAATCAGTTTTATCAACCTAAAATCTAAAACCTAAACCCTAAAGGAGTAGAGACACCCAAGGTTCCATGCCCATTTCATCTCTCAAAAGACATATGAAGGAACTAAAGCACTCCAGTAGCCACAGAGAAGGGTTCTTTATTCTTTTTTTCAAGCCACTTTGGTAAGCTTGAGATCTCCTGATATTTGCAAATTTGTCACCCTTTGCATAGGTACCACGCGGTGAGTGAAATCACAGAGCTGACGCCCATCAAGCAGGATTCGAATCTGCTGATGCTCACACAACAGCTCCATCTGAAAGAGAATAACAAGCTAAAGTGACCTGCAAATCATGGCAGCGTGATCTGAGTGCAATGGGGGGGGGGGGAATTAAGCATGCACAAGTCCTACAAAACTGGCTCTCAAGAGTTCATAACATCAGTTTCAATAGAGCTTCACTGTAGCTGATTTAATCTGGGTTGTTTTGAAATGGACTGGAGAGATGACAGTGAACTGCTTGGGACTAGGCAGTCTCCCTTCAGCTTCTATAAATACTAACTAAGCATAGGCGGAAGATGTGCTTTGCATGCATAGAGCCCTGTTGAGGACCTTATAGTTAGCACACCTGGGAAGAACTCTGCCTGACAGCCACTGTCAGTCAGAGCAGATATTGTGCTGGATACACCAATGGTCTGAGTAAGTTTCCATGATCCATGCTATCTAATAAGAGTACCTTAAATGAGTCCCCTGCTGTAAATGGGAAGTAGGGAATTGTCTTTTCCTCCTTCCCCCACTTCCCAGCAATCCGTGAATTCCGGACAATGGATTTCTCAGTAAAGTTGACTGCCAGTAACAATCCAATATCTGTGCTTGCATCCATAGGGCCACACAGCAAAGTCACTGAAAAACTGCAAAGAATTAAAATGTGTTGAAGAATAAAAAAATCACCTATCTGAAAAGGACACTGTTAGAAGTAACAAGAAAAGTTGGTATTGTTCAGTTATATTCCATCTTTCTTCTATCACAGAACTCAGGGAAATGTACATATGGTAGTTTCCCCAGTTGATTTCCACTCCAGGCACTGACCCAGGCCTGCTTCATACGTTTTCCACCCATACCTTAGGAACATGCTTGGCAATGTATTTTGACGGTAAATAAGGCTAACAAGAAATGCAGAAAGTGGCCAGAGGAAGTTAAACTGCTCTCATATAACTATGCTGCAGCCCTACCAGATCTGTCCTGCAATTTTAAACTGCCTTTTAATAATGTGATATCAAAATGCTCTATGGTTGCTTCCATGTGAAGACAATTCTCCAGAATCTCCACATAGCTCTCATGCAGAGGCATTCACAGAACAATGAAGCACCAACATCCACATGACAGTTTTCTATACACTGTTCTTGTCTCAGTCCCTCGTGGCCATCATTTTATCTTTACCACCATAGGCCTTTTCCAGGCTTTTTTATAAAAATGGCAGTTGGTAGATTGCTAAAATGAAATGATACTATGATGGTCTATTGCAACAATGTACTAGTTCCTCTGAATTTTAAGCTTTTATTTAATAAAGAATAAGTCTCTAGCCCTTCAGACTGCTCAGATACACCTTTCCCATTATATTTCCTCAACAAAAAGTGCTAGAGATGTACTTTGTAAAGAATTAGAGAATTCAGAACAATTCTGTCCAACAGACTGAAATAATGCTACAGCAATCTAGCTTCTTTTTAAAATGTGAAAATGCCCTTCAGTGGTACAGTGGGGCAAATGGCAGTCAAAGAAAGAAAAAATGTAACAATATGGGCAGGGCATCACATAATACACACCATCCTGTCCAGACCACCTGGTAATCTCCTTGGTCTGGGTTCTTCCCAAAAAGCTTGGAGAAAAGCATGTTTGGGAAAATGTGTACCAAGGAAGGGGAAAGGATGATTGGAACACAATTAGACTACTACATCATATTTATTTATTTTTATTTATTTATTTTTCACACTTATATCCCACCCTCCCCAGTGGGCACAGGGCGGCTCATGTGGCTGCTCTAAAAGAAATTGCTGCAGTTTTGTAGCCAAACTGGAGACAAACTTTTGTGCAGAAGCAGCTTGTAACAGACAAGGAAGGGTGATGCCATTCTGTGTGATCATGTGACTCCTAAGGCACAGATGTGAGAAAAGGAGGCAGCAAATGATTCCTTCTTAATCCCCCTCCCCATTTCAAGTTGATTCTTTCACCCTCCAAAGATGCAGAGTTTTCAAAAAGATCAACATCCTCATTCAAGAAGTCTGTCATTTCCTGTTGATTTCCTTCACTGGACAAATTACACTAGAGAGCACAGACTGTAAGTAATTTTCCAGCACTTTACTCAGCCTGCTAGACTATGGCCAATGGGCTGCAGGTTTCCATTGTTTCTCCACTTTTGTTGTTCAGTCACACAGTCGAGTCCGACCCTTCGTGACCCCATGGACCACTACCTGCTCCCAAAATTGTCTGATCAACCTATTACAAGAAAGGGGATTCTCAAACAGCTGAATGTCATGCCACATTTTTTCCCCTGATTTACACCCCATTCTTTTTTCTTTCTTTCTTCTTTTTTTTTAACCAAATTTATTTAAAAATACACTTCATTCTTATCTCCCAAAAGGTTTAAGCATGTAAGAGTAAGAAAAAGGAAAATGCAAAGGAATCCATCCCTTGTTTCTAAGTGAGTCACTGAGGACAGGTAATTCTGCTGCATCTCTTCATTAAGAGGGACTACATGATCCAACCACTCAGTAATTATCCAGTTCTAGTGCAATACTGTAAGATGCTACAAGGCTGTGCTCTGTCCCTGGGGCATTTTTATTTTAGTTATCTGCTTTCTGTTTTCTCTTCGCTTAGTTTTATCTTATCTTAGTCTTATCTTACTTAATTTTCAGTTCTTTACTTTTTCTCTCACTTTTGTTTTTCTTTTATTTTACAGATTCAGTGCCAAAATCCTCTCTCTCACCCTCTCCCTTTTTTGGGTGTGGTTGAAATGGCTTGAAGGTTAAGTAGATCAGAGGGTCTTTTGAAGTGATTGTTCATTGCTAATTCTTTATTTCTTTTTTTTCCTGTCTTTTTATTGTTTTATTTTATTTTTCATATTTATAGTCCACCCTTCCCGCAAGTGGGCTCAGGGCAGGTAACAACATATCAAATACAATAAATACAGTTAAAAAATAAAACACAGAAATAAACATTAAAATGGTGGTCACAGCTCAAAACAGAAGTTGGCTGGCTGCGAGAGGCTCCCTGGCTTGTTGGTGATGGATAATACTAGGCCAACTGTTATTGGATGGGAGACAAAAACCTTAAGGAGGCCATACATGGACAGCCACTGCCTCAGCCGAAAGCCTTGCAGGCCCTGCAGAATTGAAGATCCTGCAGGGCCCTGATCTCAATAGAAGCATGTTCCACCAGGCAGGGGCCAGGACAGAAAAAGCCCTGACCCTGGTCAAGGCATGACAGACGTCCTTCAGGCCAGGGACCACCAGGAGATGTTGATCCATAGAGTGTAATGTTCTGCGAGCCGTATACAGGAAGAGGTGGTCCCTCAGATATGGTCCCAGGCAGTATAAGGCTTTAAAGGTTATCACCAACACCTTGAAGCAAATACGGAACTCAACTGGTAGCCAATACAGTTTGTGGAGCACCTGCCGAACGTGAGCCTGCACAGGCGTTGACATCAGCAGGTGTAATTTCCAGGTCAGCCTCAAGGGTAAGCCTGTGTACACCAAACTGCAGTAATCAAGCCTGCAAGCGACCGTTGCATGAGTCACTGTAGCTAAGTCCTGGGGGGAGAGGTAGGGTTTCAGTAACTGTAATGTATCCAGTCCAGACAAGTCCAGAGACAAACGTCGAGCTTCGCTCCAAGAGACAATGGACTATGCGGATCCTAGCCCGCTCCAATCAGGGGGCTAGGTTCCCGACCGAGAGCCAATGGGACTCTCGGCCACTGTAAATAACCTATAGGGAAGTAGGGGTGTGTTTTGCCCCCCACCCCACCACTCTTTTTTCTGCCTCCCTACCCTACCACTCTTTCTGTCTCTTAGGGTCCTTTTTTGTCTTATGAGGAGGAAAAGAGTTTGTCCCTCTTACATCTGTAGGCTTCTAGTTAATAAACAAACTAAGCTAGGCCCCAGTCACACCGCAGGAAAAGCCGGGGCGGAAGTGTGGCTTTTTAGAGCCGCAGCAAAAGAGAAGCGTGGCAGCGGGATCAGACAGATCCCCCGAGCCGCCCCGCATATGCTCCCCAGCGTGATCAGATGTGAGGGGGAAGCCATGGACAGGAGAGCGAGGCGAGTCAGCTGCACGTGTGTGTGCCTCTGCAGTTCGGCAGGGGTCCTCGCATGCTGCAGGAGACGGGCGCGTCGGCGATCACATGGCTGCCCGTGCTGCGGATTTTCCGGTAGGTACTAGTGCTTTGCAGGTTTATTTTAACTCCGCATCTTCGACCAGAAGAGACGGATCGGGGACGGGTGCGCGCCACTTCCCAGATGTTGTGGTGCGATTGCACCCGCTTGATGCGCCCCTGATCCATCCGTCTTGCGGCTCAAATCCTCCCATGTGACCGGGGCCCTAGACACCTTTTTTATTATATTAAATCTAACAACTGCTTTTTTATTTTACAAGATAATTCTTCCCTTTCAGAGGAAAATGAATTACAAGCAAATTCTTTAACTCCATTATTTAACCATACTCCTACAATGCTTGGCCACACTCCCACATTAGGTAAAAGGTAAAGGTTCCCTTGCTCGAAAGCCAGTCGAATCCAACTCTAGGGTTGCGGTGCTCATCTCTGTTTCAAAGCCGAAGAGCCAGCACTGTCCAAAGACCTAGCTCACACTAACTCAGCTTAGAGGGAACACTGCTTCCCACTGAAGTGGTACCTATTTATCTACTTGCAATTTCTTGCTTTCAAACTGCTAGGTTGGCAGGAGCTGGAACTAGAGACAGGAGCTCACTCCGTCATGCAGCACACTCAGGTCTTGAACTGCTGAACTACCGCCCTTCCACAGCCTGCAGTTCAGCATCTTAACCACTTGAGCCACCGCAGTACCTTCTCCTACCCATAGAAGAGGAAAAGGATTTAACTTCTGGGAAGGATACTCTCCAACTTTTAACCTCCCAGACTGCTGAGAATCTAGGAAAGACCTTTGATAAAATCAATGCTTTATTTCAAGTTCTTTCCACCAATTTCCACCTTACTTCAAGATCTGCCTGCACCCATAATGGCATCCAAAATTATTTATGCAGAGACTATAAAACACAATTCAAGAAGCCCATATACTAGAACCCTGTAAAATATTATTGGCCATACTCTCCTTTCAAGGCAAAGTTATTGCACGGATATGGAAATGGCAGATCAAGAAGCATTTGGCCTGTCTTTACAAGCAAATTCTTTAACTCCATTATTTAACCATACTCCTACAATGCTTGGCCACACTCCCACATTAGGTAAAAGGTAAAGGTTCCCTTGCTCGAAAGCCAGTCGAATCCAACTCTAGGGTTGCGGTGCTCATCTCTGTTTCAAAGCCGAAGAGCCAGCACTGTCCAAAGACATTTCCGTGGTCATGTGGCCGGCATGACTAAACACCAAGGCGCACGGAACGCTGAAGTGGTACCTATTTATCTACTTGCAATTTCTTGCTTTCAAACTGCTAGGTTGGCAGGAGCTGGAACTAGAGACAGGAGCTCACTCCGTCATGCAGCACACTCAGGTCTTGAACTGCTGAACTACCGACCTTCCACAGCCTGCAGTTCAGCGTCTTAATCATTTGAGCCACCGCAGTACCTTCTCCTAATTTACCCATAGAAGAGGAAAAGGATTTAACTTCTGGGAAGGATACTCTCCAACTTTTAACCTCCCAGACTGCTGAGAATCTAGAGAAGACCTTTGATAAAATCAATGCTTTATTTCAAGTTCTTTCCACCAATTTCCACCTTACTTCAAGATCTGCCTGCACCCATAATGGCATCCAAAATTATTTATGCAGAGACTATAAAACACAATTCAAGAAGCCCATATACTAGAACCCTGTAAAATATTATTGGCCATACTCTCCTTTCAAGGCAAAGTTATTGCACGGATATGGAAATGGCAGATCAAGAAGCATTTGGCCTGTCTTTTAGGCTGTTCTCCTAGGAATGTTGAGTTGAAATGTTTTGAGGTACTTCCTGGTTTAATTAAGAAAGATTGATCAACACTTATATTTCACACCACTCATGTTTTTACCTTGATCATTGCTGAACAGCGATGGCTTGCCTTGCATGGAAGATTTCATTCTCCAGAATTAATATCACTCAGCACCCTGAAGCCCATCTCTAAGAAACCTACGGCAATCTATCACAATCAGTAAACGGGAATAGAACGGACCCTAAGCAATATACACTATCTTTACTTGATTTATCAAGAAAAGATACATGTCCAAGTTTTACCTCAACAGTTAGGAATGCAGTGAGTAAAAAGGAACCATCTATGATATTAAAGAGCCTGTTTGTACTCTCAGCCTTATAAGCTGTTAGATAGGGTGGATTCTAATTTAATGCAGTTCTTTGGTGTTTTGCCAGAGGAGGAGCAGATTAACATCACTGATAGCGTAATGTACTCCGCCATGACCACGTGCTGGGGGGGCTACATGGAACTGAAACTGGAGTCCCACACAATAGCAGTCAGTACTGTTTCTCACAGACAAGAAGGGCTTTTTTGTGGTGATTCTCATTGGTAATGAGTGGCAGCACCTTTTGGAGGGGCTCTCCCATATAATGAGGAAGGAACTGGTGGAAATAGCTGCAGCCTTATATATGAGTACTGCATTTTTCTTTAAGCAGAAAAACAGGCTCTGCAGACAAGATTCTGCTATAAAGTTTACTTGAGAGTAAATTCCATTCAGCAAAAGGTCCTTTTTCTCCCTTTAATTATCCTTTACTTCTATTTTTGCTTCATAGCCACTTAGTGCTTAATTAATTAATTACTTCCTGTTCATTTAGCAGCATATAGAATTATTCTTTTTGCCAGGTGTGTCTAGGAGAATGTAGGCTTTTAGTGAAAATGACCTATTTTTCTTGAAAATCACCACTCATTACATTTCACTTTTCATGACTGTTACTTTGTAATTGTGACCATAAAAAGAAAAGAGCAACTGAAACCTTCCCCTGAACAAAAACTGATTTAAAGAAACAATAAATAAAACCTCCTCACACACCCCATCCCAAACTGATAGGGATTAATTCAGAAATATCCAGGCATCCTGTGGAAAGGATGGAATGAAGTGAAAACTGCTTTTTAAAAAGGGGAAACAATTGATATGGTTAGTAGCTATAGAAACCCCACTTGTGGACAACTGATAGTACGACCACATTTTAAGTGAAAAATATCACCACAGATCAGGTATGAAAAAAGACAGGAAAAACAGGAAACAATGCAGTACAATGGACTGGCAAAGACATTATTTGGATTCTCTGTAAAACTGAATGGATGGATGAATGAATGATGGTAATTCCAGACTAAATGGCTAGTGTGGAACCAGGCACAAAGAATGCTGTTTTTCAAGAGATCAGTTGAATCACAGTCTTTCTCAGATATATGAAGCTGCTGCCAGAATACCAGCTCACACACCCACCTTTGGGGGTTTGTGCATATTACCCCCATGATAGTGATTTTCATAGTTGGTCTCAGTCCTCCTTTTATTTCACCAATATACTTCTCCACCTAACAGAAAAATATAATTTGTAATTGTGACTGCTATATGATAAGATAGAAAACTACATGTTGCACTGCTCATTGCACACATTTACTACATTGTTTTTTAATTTCTGTAATCCAGTTTTTGTATTTCTTATGCCATGTCTTATATTGTTTAATTGTGAGTTTTTGTATTTCTTATGCCATGTCTTATACTGTTTAATTTTGTATTCAAATTGTGTAAACCAGTCTTATGACACCGTTTATTAGATTTCCTATACTGTTCCTATTGCACTGTTTCAAATTTTGTAATCCACCTTGAGTCTCAGCTAGAAAGTTAAGTCTATAAATAAAGTAAATCAATCAGTCTTTTGTATGGCTTAGATTCTATGCAGCACAAGCAGAGCTGCATTTAATAAGTAGTTCCTTTCCCACATCCTCCCTCTTGCTATGGTCATTTATGCCCTCTGAAATTGTGCCCCCATGGGTCAGTGGACCCCCAGGAGCATCCTAGAGCTTGAAGTAGGGCGTTGAAATTATGAGAGAGCAGAAATCACCATCCCCTTCTTCTGGGAGCCGAAGAGTCTACTGCAAGTGGTAAGGGAGAATAGGATCCAAGGTTGTTTCCTCCGTAGAAAGACTTTCTGCATTCTGTAGAGCTTACAAATAAGTATGCACACTATTGCATTCATGGCCCGAGGCTGGGAACCAGGTATAGACAGTGCATGTATTTGCCCAGGGTACAACATTTGTGCAGATGCCCCCTGCTATACACCTGGCTGACATCTAGCAGCCTGAGTTCTTGTGTACGTGACAAACCCACCAGGGACACATTGGGAACCAGACCAGTGGTTACAAAAGTTAGGTTTGGTCCAGATGGAAAGTGAGGAGGGGCATCACTGTTCCTCTTGTTGGGAATATTCCAAGTCAGACGAGCCCCTTCCCACACCATGTACCTTGTGACTCACAAACTTCAACTTTTGTCTAGTAGAGACCTAACTCTCTACTAACTTCAGTTTTTTGTGATGTCTAAAGGAGGGTTTTTTCTCTCTCACTAACCAGGATTCTTAACCAGAATCAAATAATGGTAAAGAATCTCAGTTACCAGGAAAGAAACAAACCTCAGTTATCAGATGTCATGATGAACTGGAGTTAGTTGACGATTTTTTTTTTCAGTCTGTGTTCTGCATGAGGAAAAGAGCGAGGGAGCACACAAGCCCAACAATTAGGCCAGTTTGTGCAAATCACAAAAATTCCAAATTGTTCATGACATCCCAATTGTGCTTCTGTCCCTTCCAAAATTCTAAGCACTATTTCTTCATAAAGAATCTGCCAGCACTAGAGTTGCCAACTCCGGGGAAATTCCTGGAGATTTGGGGGTGGAAGCCTGGGTACGGTGGTGTTTGGGTAAGGGAAGGACCTGAGAAGGGTATAACGCTATATAGTCCTATCTCCCAAACAGCCTTTTTGCTAGGGGAACTGATCTCCGTCATCTGGAGATCAGTTGTAATTCTGGGCCCTCTCCAGGCCCCACCTGGAAGTTGGCAAGCCTACCCAGCACCCACCCCAATAAGTGAAATTTCTATTCAGGAAACATCCAGAGACACAAAAGATCATCAACAGTCAAAAGACCTGACTCCCAACAGATATCAGAGGATAAAAACATAGCAATAAGACTAATTCAACAGTATGAACGTATGCTGAGCAATAGAAAAAAACTGATCACAAAATAGAATGCTGGCTAAACTGGAAGACTGCCAGGTACGTGCATCTATTGTTTCCTAGGCCTCCATGCAAGAGCAAACTGCTCATGCATGAGTGTCCTGAATTATTCTCAGTGTTCATATGTATATAAAATTGGAAGAGAAGTTGTTCCTAAACTAGTTTAGGATTTTGCAAGTGTGCATTCCGCAGTTTGGTTTTAAGTGCATCACATAACAAAGTAACTTTAATGGTTTTCATTGGCCATGTAAAAATCCAGTGTATTTGTACAGCTGCAAAATATTTCAGGCTCTGCAAAGTAAGTATTGTGTTCCTCATTCATCCCCTTACGTTGTTCTTCCCACCACCGTTCGCTCGTTGTGCCCTCCAGAAGATTTCTTAGAATGGCCTTCCTCTGGGTATGGGCATCTTCTGTAACAGCTCCCATGTTGTAGAATGGCTTATAAAAATGTTGGGAAGTCGTCCACTCTTGTAACTTTCAAAAAACTCGGTAAGCCACCGTGGCCTGGGTAGCCCAGGCAAGCCTGATCTCATCAGATCTCAGAAGCTAAGCAGGGTTCGACTCTGGCAAGTACTTGAATGGGAGACCTCCTTGGAATACCAGCAGTTGGGAGGCGGGAGCAGGCTTTATTCAGCCACCCCTCTGAATATCCTCCAGTCTGCCAGCAAGGATCAGTCACCAAACGTTGCCATGACTTCCAGGTGCACAGTCACCAGAGGTGACACATGCACATATGAAAAAATTTAAAAATACAAAAAAACCCCACTCTCTATAAGGCCAGATGGTTTAAGAGGCCTTTTCAACTGGATTATAATTATTGTGGGTTTATCTATGCAGTTGATAATGATGACCTATGGTCATCAGAAACAGCTTTTGCTGTTATGGTTTCGTTTTTATGGCTTTACCATAATCATAACCTACTTTGATTCTTGTACTGGAGAAAAGTGAACTAAAATGTCTTAAGTGTATACATAATGACAGTTTAAATATAAGTTTATTACTTTATGAAAAAATATCAACCATAGCTTTCTCTGATCAGTTTAGAATTCATTTTGCTGGCCTGTCTCTCTCCCAATGCGCCTCTTTCTCCCACATGACATTATAAACTAGAGAAAATCCCCCCTCCAGTGCTTTACAAAGAAAAATATGTAGAGTTTTGTGATAGACCCCTTTGCTTATAGTGCTCCTGTATGGTTTCAGTTCATCTGAGGGACTCTTATATACTATAGCGTTGTGCCAATCCAGATACTGCCTCCCCCGCATTTTAAATTTCCTGCATTTAATCTTGCCAGGTACATGCTATTTAAAAAAACAAAAAACAAATTCATGGTTCAAAGAGATGTAGCAAAAAAAGCTCTCTCCCCAATACAGTAATCCTTCCTGATATAAAGTAGATTTTATACTTACATTTGTGCTCCTATAATTTTCTGTCATCTTTTTTTGGCCCGTTACACTCATACCTTACACAGAAGTATTAGTGCTTTTCTTGTGTGAACTCAACATTAACAAACAAAAAGCCCAGAATAAAGGATGTTGTGGGGAGCATTATCTCTAGAAAACACCAGTTTGACACCACCCGCACAGATAGCTGAGTCACAACAGTCAACATCTTCAAAGGGATATCCAGAAGAGAAAGAGGAAAGGAATGTAGGACATAATGCTTTGAGAATAGAGGGGAACTGTTTGCCCAGCCAATGAGCAAGTGATATGTCCAAAAACTAGCTTCAGCGGGGATCCCCAGAGCAACAAAAACACAGTCTGAGAAGATTTCAGTATGACATTGATGTAAATTGTTGGTGAATGTAAATAAATAGTCAATAGTTATTATAGGGATGCCAGCCTCCAGGTGGGACCTGGGGATCCCCTGGAATTACAGCCCACCTCCAGACTACAGACGTCAGTTCCTCTTGAGCAAAAGGATGCTTTGGAGGTGGACTCTATGGCATTGTAGCCCACTGAGGTCCTTGTCCTCCCCAGGCTCTAGCCCCAAATATCTAGGAGTTACACATCCTGTATCTGGCAACCCTACTGCCCATCCCCCATCGATGGCAACCCCAAATTATTTTCTTCATTTATTATTTCACTTATTTAGTATCTTTTTACACCACCCTTATTCCAGGGGGCTCAGGTGATATATATGGTTCTCTCTCTCCTCCTTCATTTCGTCCTCACCACAATCTTGTGAGGTAGATTAGGCTGAGAAAGAATGACTGACTCAAGGTCTCCCAATGAGTTTCACAGCACATGGAGATTTGGACATTGGTCGCCCAGGTCCCAATCCAATACTTTTAACACAAAATTTTAGACAATATAAGCACACTGCTATGCTGAAACAAAAATACACAATACCTTTCATTGAGGCCCACTCAAATAATACAAAACATTGTGCAAGCTTTCAAGTTCTATAGAGTCCTTCATCAGGCAGATTTTACAAAAACTTTTTAAAAATTAAGTAGGACAAAAGCACGTCTTCCAGATCGAAATCTTAAGGCCCTGTCATGCCAGCCTTCGATGCTGGATGCTGGGAGATCCCAGTTTGATTGCTGTAGGTGTTAGACTACAGTCAGGGCCAGCTCACCCGCTAGGCGAACTAGGCCTTCACCTAGGGCGTGAGCCAGCCCTTGGGGCACCAAACTGGACCCGCCCCCAAGCCCCCCCGCCAAAAGCCCTGCATCTCCCTGGCCACTGCCTCTTTCTCCCCGAGTCCGGCAATCACTGAGCTTGCCGGACTCGGGGCAAAAGAGGCGGCAGCGGTCAGGGAGATGCAGGGCTTTTGGCAGGGGTGGGG